GGGGTTTCCGTGGCACGGCGTGGCCTGCCTCCCCTCCACGCCCCAGGCAGCCCCCACCCCACCCCACCCCAACACCCACCCACCTCGCAAGTGTTGTGCATGACGATGGTGTTGCGCCCTCCCATGAAGATCTCGGACGTGTACTCGTCCATGGCGCGCTTGGAGTCGGCCACGTAGGGAACGTACTTGATGACAACCACGTGGTCGGGGTGCTCGCCGGGACTGCAGCCAGGGCGGGGCGCGGGCGGGGCAGACAGGTCGGCCTCGGCCTCGGCCTCGCCGCCGGCACGCCCGGCCGCCGCTGGCCAGCTGGCGCGCTGCGGGTGCCACCCAGCAGCCCCCCCGCCAGTCCCCACCACTACCTGCCCCCACCACCACCTGCGGGCCCCCCCCACCCAGGTGCAGCGCGCCCCCCCAGCACCGCCCACCCACCCGTAGAGCATGGAGTTGGACTGCACCATGTCGTCCACCACGTTGGACTTGGAGATCTCCTTGGAGCGGAAGGTTTGGGGCGCCGACAGGTTCATGCCGTCGTTGTTGCCCAGGTGGTTGTAGGAGACGATGGAGGTGGGCTTGATGCCCGCGCCCACCAAAAAGTCCACCAGCACGCTCTTCATCTTGGTCTGACCGCTCTTGAAGTCGTCGCCGCCTGGGGGGAGGCAGGGGAGCAGGCAGGGGGCGGGCAGAGCAGGGCAGGTGAGGCGGGCAGGTGAAGAAGGGAGGGGCGGAGGGGGCGGGACCGCTGGGCGGCAGGGCTTGGGGCCAGGGCAGGGCTTGGGGCCAGGGCAGGGCTTGGGGCCAGCACGAGGCGGCAGGGCCCGCCCAGGCAGCACCCCAGCGCCCTAGCCGCCACCCCACAGCCCGCGCTTCACCGATGAGCACATCCTTCTCCACCGCCAGGTCGATCAGGCCGGGCACAAAGGTGTTCTGAGGGGAGCCGTTGATGAAGGGCACGCCCTCCAGCACGCACGCCGTAGCATACAGTGTGGACGGGGACACCTCTGCAGTGGGGGGCAGAGGAGGGCGCAGCGGGTGACCACGGGGCAGGGGGGCGGGAGCAGGGGGGGGGAGGGAGGAAGCAGCGCGGAGGGCCACGGACGGCGCACTTGCTGCCCCGCACAGCACCCCTGGCCCAGCCGGCCCGCCAGCTCACGCCAGCTAGGCGTCCCAGCCCCAGCCTCACCAGCCTCGTTTGCGTCGATGCTCTTGAACAGGTTGTCGGCGGTGTCGTTCAGCCCCTCAATCACCTCGCTGTACCGCTCGGTGTTGGCGGTCCACAGCACAATCACCTTGTCCACCCCCTGGTCAGCCTTGAACTGGCGGATCTGCTGCCGCACAGTCTCCATCTGCGGGCGGCGGGCGCGGGCGGCAGGCGGCGCGGCGTCAGCGGCAGCAAGGGTGTGGGCCAGCGCCGAGGATGCCCGAGCATGCCGTGACCGGCAAACGGCGCTGCGCGGCCCACACAGGCCTGCAAACGGCGCTGCCGGCACACTGCGCACGCCCCGCCTCCACCCAGCCATCACCGCCCCGCCCGCGCTCCATCCGCGCACCTGCTCCCGCTTGCTGCCCTTGATGATGTTGTCGGCGCGCTCCGCCTGGTTGGCGGCGATGAACGAGGGGTCGTAGATGCCCGGCAGCGGCACCATGTCCTTCATCAGCGGCACCAGCTGCTTCTGCAGCTCAAAGTCCAGCACCTGGGCGCGCTCCATCGCGTCAGCCAGGTTCATGCCTGCACGCGGCGGCGAGCAGGTGGAGGCGGAAGGGTGAGCAGCATGTCAGGAGGCAGAGGCAGGTGGGAGGCGGGATGGCGCAGGCAGCGCTGCGCTCCCGCTGTGCGCCAGCGAGTCGAGCCTCGCTGCTGCCCGGTGCAGCCGTCTATAGCACTAGGGCGGAGCCTCGCCCCAAGCCGACCCAACCACAACAGGCGCTCAAGTGCCGCGCGCGCACCCGAGATGTCCCAGCCTCCCAGCACAAAGTCGTTGGGGTGCACCATGGGCAGCAGGGAGGAGAAGGGCACGTGGATCTCCTCCCCCTTGTAGTTGCCCACCCGCACGGTGGCGGCGTGGGTCAGGCTGCCAAAGTAGTTGGGCTTGCGCAGGCCGTCCTTGGTCATCCAGGTGATGCCGCTGCGGGGGTTGGAGGAGAGAGGGAGCAGGCATGGTGGGGGCAGGTGCGAGGGCCCAATTCAGCCCTGTACCAGCCCCTCCCTGCCCGCAGCACAACGCGGAATCCGGAAGCGGCATCGCCGTGCTGCGCGACAGCTGCTGGGGCCCGCCTCCAACCGGCTACACTCACTGCTTGTTGGCCAGGATGCCGCCAGTCACGGTGGTCCCGTTGTTGCCGCCCCAGCCCACCAGCATCACCCTGCAGGCAGGGCCAGCAGCGTGTCGGCGAGCGGCGGCAGCGGCGGCGGCCCAGCCCGGTCAGCAGCGCCGGTTGCAGCAGCAGTGCCACCCGTTGCCTCCGCCTGCTCGGCTGACTGGACTGCTGCGGCGGCTGCCTGGCAGGGCCCTGCGGCGCCGCGCACCCCAGCTTGGGCACGCGCGTGCTCGTCTCAAAAGTGTACTCCGTTTTCTTTGGTTTCAACGTCCACTGGCCCTCCTCCGTGCGCTCCACCTCCGTGTGGTCATAGGTGTAGTTGGAGGTGATCGACTCGGGCCCATACACCACATTGGGCGAGTCCACGCGGAACTGCTCCACCAGCATGGCTTCGCTTGCAGAGGCACGAGATCTGATGGCGTGGGGTGACAGGGGAAGCAGCAGAGCAAGACACAAGCCGGCTTCAAAACAACCGGCTTTCCAGAGGCCGCGGCGGGAAGAAGGCGCCGAGGCTGGGCCGGACCAGACGCCTTCCGCTGCCCAATTGAGCCTGATCAGCCAGCAACGCACCCAAATACTGCTCTCTGAAGGGAGGTGCCGCTTCCTGCTTGTCACCCCGACCCCCTTGCGCTCTCCTACGGACCAGCACAGCCCGGCATCGCGCCGCAGACTGCCCGCCAAGCGAATCCAGCAGGCCGCAGCCCGCATCGCAGGCTGCCCATCCCCCAGGGGGTGCATCACGGCCTCTCGGTTCTAGGGACTGGTCTAGGGCGCCATGGAGCTTCACCACAGGCTCAGGCGTGACCCTTCGTGGCACCCCAGCGGCTGCAACATCTGCGGTCAGGTGCGCAGCCTGGCGGAGGCGGCGCCTGCCGCTCGCGAGAGTCCTCTGCTGCTGCTGCTGCTGCTGCTGCTGCTTGCTACCCGGCCCCCAGCATGTTTTGACCATGTTTGAAAGGTCAAGGAACTGCCTGTGTTGTTTGCCTGACCGCCCGTTGCCCACCGCCGCCTCGTCCCCGCTGCCCGCCACCCGCTCGCCTGCCGCAGCTGGGCCACCAGGCGGCGCAATGCACGACCGGCACGGTCAACTGGCGGGCCATGTACGGCGAGAGCGCCTTCACCATGCAGCGCGCCGTGTTCCAGAGCGACGTGGAGGCCAAGCGCAAGGCCAGCGGCAAGCTGATTGATTTCTCAGACCTGGAGAAGCGGGCCAAGGACTATGCGCAGGTGGGGGGCGGGGCCTGCAGGAGGGACCCCGGCTGGGCAGCTGCTGCCGGGCTGCAGGGCTGGTGCCAACTGCAGACCCCGCTGCAGCTCCCTGTCGGGCTGCCGCTGCCTGGAGACCTGCTGTGCACGCTGCTTTCGGGCTGCTGCAAGAGTCGCAGGGCAGGCGGCCAGCCAGCCGCAGCTGCATGGGATGACCTTGCGCGTTGGTGCTGCATGCAGATGCGCGAGGAGCAGGGCGGGCCACCGCCGCAGCAGGCGCCGCCCCAGGGCTCGCGTCGCCAGCAGCACCCGGCAGCGGCGGGCGGCCCACCAGCGGCAGCAGCAGCGGCGCCGCCGCCTGCCGACCCAGCAGCCCTTGAAGCTGCGGAGCGGAAGCGTGCGGCGGAGGAGGGGCTGCCCCCGGGGTGGAGCGTGGCCTTCGATGCGCAGAAGAAGCCCTACTTCTGGCACAAGCAGACCAAGAAGGTGCAGTGGGACAAGCCCACGGCAGACACACCCATCAACTGATATGCGCCGCCGGCTGGCGCCACCCTGCAACAGGCAGCGCGGGCCCACTCGTGCCCTGCGCTGCCGGCTGCCGGCTGTTCTGCCCGCTGGCAGGACGTGTTTGTGTCGCCCCCAGCTGCCCCGCACTGTTCGCCTGCGCCTCTCAACAGCCTAGCTTGCCTTGCTCCCCTCTGCTGCCCCTCTGCTTCTCGCTTACCTGACCAGCCGCTCCCGCTCTGATTCACTGCCCCTTCCACACCCTCTGCCTCTGGCGCTCCATTTTGCCCGTCCACTCGCTCGCACTTGACTTGAACTGCTGTTTGTTATTCGACCGCCGCTCAACCAACTTACAGCCGCAGCCAAGCATGCTGGCAACAAGCAGCACAGTTGCAGGGCCGGCAGGGAGCCGCAGAGGGTCGGCTGGCCGCCTTCCCGCCCGCCCGCGCCCCTCAGTAGAGCAGCTGCGAGCTGCGTGCCTGCAGGTGCGCGTCCAGCATGCGCCAGAACTCCTGCGCCACGGTGGCGTCCCGGTGGCGCGACTGCCGGTTGATGCCCAGCACCTTCACGTTCCAGCTCCTCACCGTGGCATCCACCGCCTCATCCGTGTAGTGCACATACACGCCCAGCACGCGGCTGAACGCCTCCACCAGGTCGCCGCTCTGGGCGCCCTGCGCAGGGGAGCGAGGCGGGGCGCGGGGAAGGGGCGGGGCGGGGAGGGGGCCGGATGGGCAGAGGCAGGTGGGGTGGGGCGGGGGCAGGGCCCAGGAGGGAGCGGGGGCACGGGGGCTGCAGCGTGGGGGGCAGGAGCGGGCAAGGAGATGCGCGCGAGCGCTGCGTGCCGCCCGCCGCAGCGGCTGGCAAGCGCACCTTGAAGGGCCACTTCTTGAACTGCCAGGCCTTGCCCAGGCAGATGACCGCCACCACTCGGTCCCAGTCCTGCTTGTGCGCGGGCTCCTTGTCGGTGACCCAATACTTGACGGGCGCCTTGCGGGCGATGGTGCGCTGGATGGCGGCTCGCTCCTCCTTCTTCACTCCATCCTTGGTCTTGGCCATCTCGGCCTGCAGGGCAGGGGGGGCGCGGCGGCGGGGTTCAGTGCATGCCCAGTGCAGGTTCACGCGCCTGTTGTTGTTGTTGGGCTGAGCACGCTGCACGGCTCCCTGCAGCGCCGCTGCTGCCGCCGGCCCGTGCAGCGCTGGGTGGGCTCCCCGCCGCTCTGCCGCCACGGGCGCCCTCAGCCTGCAGGGCCCGCACCTTGGCCTCGTCTGTGGTGCAGAAGCGGCCCTCCTCCAGGAAGGGCCGCACATTGTACATGTTGAGCAGTGACGTCATGCCGGGGGGGACCATGATGATGGGGGTGCCGTGCCGCGGCGCCGCCCGCTGCTTCTGCGCCTGGCGTGGCTGCTGCGGCTGCGCCCTGCTGCCGCCGCCGCCGCCGGGCCGCGGCTGCCGCTGCTGCTGCTGCTGCTGCTGCGAGGGCGGCCGCGGCGCGGCCGCGGCGGGGGGCGGCGGCGGCGGCGCGCCCTGCTGCGCCGCCACGGCCAAGCTGCCTGCCGCGGCGGCGGCGGCGGTGGCGGGCTTGAAGCCGACCTGCACCCCCAGCTCCGCAGCACCCATCTGCTTCAGCGTGGCATCCTGCTGCGTCTGCCGCTCGTACCGCCCTGATGGCCGCACCGGGATGACCGGCTGCGGGGCAGGTCAGGGCAGGGGCAGGGCAGGGGCAGGGCGGTTGGCAGCATGAGGACAAGAGGGTGCTGGGGCCGGGGCCGTTGGATGATGAAGGGACCTGCCAGTGGGAGGTGCCAACGGAGGCATACGCCACGCATGGGCCCCACGCGGGCCTCAGGCGCAAGGCAGGGCCCGTGCGCCCGGCCCTGGCTGCCGCACCCAGCCACCCCCACCTGGGCCGCCGCCTGATGCTTGCGCTTTGCCTGCTTGTGGTGCTCCTCCTGCTGCTGCATCTTGTGCTGCTGCTCGAGCTGCGCCTGGGTGAGGATGGTCCCCACCTTGCCGAAGCTGCGCCCCGGCACGCTCAGCATGCTGTTGCGGTCCCGCAGCTGCGTGGGGTGGGGCGGGGCAGTGGAGATGATATCCAGGCGGGGCAGGGGCAAGCGGCAGAGGGCCATGGGGCAGGGCAGGGCAGTCCCCGCAGCAGCGGCGTGAGGGCTGCGCCAGGCGCATGCACGATGCCCAGGCCAGGCACCCAGCAGCCTCCACCAGTGGCAGACTGGAGGCACTGACAGGCAAGTCGTGAGCGCATGGAAGCTGCCACCACCCACATGCACGCTGACCGCCCCCCAGGCACAGACCTGCAACTCGCTCTCCCGGATCCTGCGCAGCGCTGCATCCTCCGCCCCCTCCTCCACCGCCTCCGCCGCGGGCCCCGCCTCCGCCTCGCCGCCCGCCTCCAGCCGCGCCCGCTTGGCTGGCTGTCCCACCTGCACCGCCCATGCAAGCAGGCAGCTCAGCCGCCGCAGAAAGCACTCGTGTGCGTCGAGGCCAGGGGCATGGATGCGAGCTGCGCGGCCAGCCATTGCGACCAGCAGCAGCAGCCCATGCACCTGCCCCAGCCAGCACCGCCACCTCACCTCAAAGTCGGGCACCGTCAGCTGGATGTACTCTGACCGGTCAGACTTGCCCGTCAGGTAGTTTTGGAGGTCCTGCGCGTGGTGGCACCGCACACATGGTTGGCCGCCAGGCAAGCACCAGCCCACGGCGGAAGCCGCAGCGAGGGGACACCCTACACCCTGCCGCCGCGCGTTCGCCCGCACCCCAGGCTGCCCCAGAACTGCACCTGCACCAGACCACATAGGGGCGCAGCTGTCTGCCCCCGCCCGGCCGGCAGCACTTCCTGTGCGCACCATGCGGTCCAGGAAGGTGACCTGCTTGCCGATCTCCTTGCCCGCCTTCTTGAAGTACTCTGTGAACTTCTCGTTGATGTGCTTGGAGAAGAACAGCAGCGTCTCCAGGTCGTACAGCTTGCCCTTGCCCTGCAAGAGGGAGAGCAGGCAGGCAGGCGTGGGGAGGTGGCGGCGGTCGGTGCCGGCAGCCGGCGGGCGGCACCTTAGCTGCGCCCCCGCCCTGCCCCCGCGGCGCGCTCGGCCTCTGCTGAAGGTGCCCTGCACTGCCTGAAGCTGGGAGTCCCGGCCCACCTGCTGCGACTTGTATCCTGTCGCCACATTCTTGCTGAACGAGAATTTGCCGCCGAAATCCACGCGATCGCCCGCCAGCACCACCTCATGAACCTTCCCAGTGCTGACAAACTCCCGCAGCAGCGAGAGTGGGTCCGCCATCGCGATCGTGGGCACCCACTAGACGCCAGGCGGCTCTCCACTGCGCTGGGGGAGCAACTCATAACCACCAGATGGGGGGCCGGGGGGTGTTTCCTTCTGCTGCGTCTGCTGTGCTGGCGGCAGAGGCGGGAGTGGCGGCAGGTCAGGCCTCCTGGCTTCCGCATGCTCACTACATTGAATAACACACGTGACGCGTGTGAAAAGCTCGGGCAAGAATCATGCCAGGCGACCGGGACTGCTGGCAGCGATGCCGCCACAAACGCACAACGCCTTCAGCCGCAGTGACTGCGGCTGGCTCCCGTGCCTGGGCAACGGCGGTCATCTGCTGCACACCAACCACTGCAAATGTCCCAGTCGCACTGTTGGGCTCCAATCATTCCTGCTCCCAATTTTGGAGGGCGGGCACGAGGCCTATGGCGGGGCTGGCTTTTTGCGGATGCCCGCCCAGTAGCGCAGTACTGCTCTTGATGAGCAGCTGTCGGCTCGCCGCCCCAGACTGCGCATCATCTCCAGCATCGTGCTGCATGTAGAATCAATGGCTCGCGGCTGACCAGCTGCGCCCCGCAGCTGGCTGCAAGCACAGCCAACCCGGGAAATGGACAGAAGCAGGACTGGCGCACAGCTGGTTGCTGCTGCATCGCTGTGTATATTGGTGTTGGGAGCGCCGCCGGCAGTTGGAGAGGTGCGCCGCCGCTGCCGCCTCGGCGTCGCCAGCTGCTGCCAAGCAAGCGGAACCGTGGGAGACGGCGCCTGTTTCTCAGCAAACCTTTGCCTTTCTCTTGCTCCTCATCGCGTGGCCGCTGTTGTTGCCACTGCAGGCGCTCCGGCTGCAGCCGTCATCCTACAGCTGCCCAGAGGGCCGTGTCCCAGAGGGCGCGCGGCTCGACGCTTATCGCAGTTGCACCTTCACCAACCTGTACCTGTGGCAGGGGCGGGCCTACTACGTCCTATCAGATGGTGTGCAGACATCTTGGGAAACGCGGGTGCAGTGCTAGCTGCATGCAACCCTGCCGTGCAGTTGTGCCATCAGCCCTCCCTTCCCCTGCCATGGAGCTGCAGACAAGGCTGCTGCGCCCGCTCTTGGCCAGCTGGGTCTGAAGTTTGAGATGTGGGCCAGCGATGAGGGCCCCGAGCCGGTGACCGAGTTCTTCGAGGTCACCACCGCCGACGCCCTGGCGCAGCGGCTGCCTGCCGCGGCGGCCGGCCAGGCAGCCACGGTGCCGCTGGCGTGTCTCTGGAAAGGTTGGGCCTTGGGGGCGCATGTGTGAATTCGGGGCATGCAATGCAAAGGTGGGGCAGCGTTCATGCTTGCTGATTCTGGTGCTGCATGGCCATGCTTGCAGTTCGCAGGGTGATCTCCATTCCCTGGCGGGCAGAGTGCGGCGCGCCGGCGTCACGCATCAATTCCAAGTAAACCAGCCAACACCTAGCGCAGGAGTGCCTGCTTGGCTGCGCTACAGAAGCAGAGAGGTGTATCTAGCGCTCTTGTCCCTCCCTCCACCCTCCCCGACTCTTGCAGTTACTATCATTTCATGGAGGAGTGGCTCCCTGGGCTGAGCATGACGCTGTGCGAGCAGTTTGGTGAGTGGGGCCAACCAGCAGCACCCTTGCATAGCATAGTGCATTGCTGGCAGGCGGGAGGCTGGCCGGCCGCTTTCCCACCATTCCGACCCCGCTGCGCTATGCTGCGCCGTGGCGGGTGCAGGCCACTGCTCCTACGCCGATCGCAGCCGGCTGCAGCTCATCGACGTGCAGCAGCGGCCGCGCAGCTGCAACAGCCGGGAGCTGTACCCCGCTTTCTTCAGGGAGGCGGCGGGGTGCCTGTCTGCCAAGCCGCTGCTGCACATCAACGGCAGCAGCCTGCGGGGGCAGCTGGCCCGGGTGGAGGAGGCCTGGATGGGGCTGGGCCCGCGCTGCCGCGGCATCCCGGCGGGCTGCTATGTGCCCGGCAGCGGCCGCCTGCCGCCCACGCCCCAGCTCACTGCCTCGCTGCGCCTCATCCTGGCGCAGTGCCTGGGCGCGCGCCTGGATGCGCCCGCACCGCTGCGCCCGGTACAGGTGCTCGTCATTGACCGGCCCTACACGAGCAACAGGCAGGTCGCTGTAACTGGGGTGGGGCGGGTTGGGCCCTGCCCCGACCGGCTGGTTGGGCCTCAGTCAGCAGCACTCCCGGCAGGCCTGGGCTGCGCTCCTGAACACATTGGTGGCTCCCACTGCCTTGCCGTGCATGCAGGCACATTTTGAACATCAATGATGTGGTGCGGTCCCTCCAGCGGCGCTACCCGCCAGACCGGGTGGCGGTGAGGCTGGCATACATGGAGGTGCATGTGTGCAGGGATTGTGCGTGTGTGTGGTGTGGTGTGTGCCCAGCAGGACATGGGGAGATTGGCAGGCTTGGGGTGGTTCACTGGGCCGGGCAGGCAGGGTGCTGTTGTGGCTGCTGCACAAGCAAGGGCCTGCAGGCCTCTTGATCCGCTCCCTGGCCCCCTGCCGCCCCTCCCAACCCCCGCCTGCAGGGCCTCAGCGTGCGGCAGCAGGCCCAGCTGTGGAGCGGCGCCACGGTGGTGCTGCACATGCACGGCGCCGCCCTGGGCAACTACTTCTTCCTTCCCTCCCGCGCCGTGGTGGTCCAGCTGGCCCCCTCGTACCGCCTCAACCCCAGCCGGTACAGCAGGCTGCTGGTGCGTCGGCTGCCCAGAGGGAGGCCAGCATGGGGAGCGGGGCCGGTGTGGTAGCGGCTGGGGGCCAGCGTGCCTGCTTGCCTCCCAGGCACTCACGCCTGCCCCCGCCAGCTGAGCATGCCCACCCCAGACCCCCCCCTGCTGCGAGCCCCCTCCCCGCCCTGCTGCTCCTCCACAGGAGCGTGACCTGGCGGGTGTGAGCGACATCCGGGTGGTGGACTGGTCCAACAGCGACCCCACCCGCCTGCACCTCAACACAGAGGCCATCACGGCAGACACGCGTCCGGGCCCACGCAGCTACCTGGCCGACAGGTGCGGCCAGCTGGGGACGACGGGCGGAGGGGTGTGTGGGTGGGCGGCCCCGCTGGTTCCAGGCTGCTCTATCACTGTGCCGCCCCTCCATCACTCCTCCACGCACTCGTCTGCTGGCTGCCGCAACGTCGCCCTGCCCCCCTGCCCTGGCTGCGCAGGGAGCGGTACGCCGAGCTGGCCACCAGCTTTGAGTGCAGCGAGTCGCTGCGCCCCTCGCTGTACAGGGCCTGCCGGTCGCTGCAGACGCAGGTCAACTTGGTGCTGGACCTGGAGGTGGCTGCCAACCTGACTGACGCAGCCATCGCCCAGGCATTCAGGCAGCAGCAGCAGGCCGTCCCGGCCTGGCTGGCCGCGCTGCGAGCCGGCGCCGGCGGCGCGGCCGCCGACGGCCGCATCCCGCCCGCGGCAGCTGCGGCGGCGGAGCAGGAGCGGCGGCGGATAGATGCCGTGGCGGCGGGGCTGCCGCTGCTCGAACGGCTGCGGGGCGCGGGCCCGCTGCTGACCCTGGCTCTTGGCGTCGCGGTGGGAGCTGCGGCGACACTTGTTGTGGTGTCGGCTGTGTGGCGCATAGCCTGACTGGTTGGCATGTCATCATCGTGAAATCTGCGGGATCGCCACCACCACTGCCAGTGCTTGCACCTGGGAGACTCATGGAACAGTGCGGCAAAGCGCTGGCGGCGGCGCCAGCCTGTCGCATTGGCAGCATGACTCCCCAGGATTCACCCTGCCTTTGCAACCTTCTTCTTTGGATCTTTTTCCGCTCCTCTCACGGGTTTCCTTGCTCACGATGAGACCCTGAAGCTGGGCCAACCCCATGCTTCCGGCGTCGCGCCACCAAGCGCTCCGTTGCCTTGAAACTTTATGCAGCAGCCCGGCGGCGCGTGCACAGCCAGCGGCGCCACTTTCCCAGCCGCCCGGCAGGCGGCTCCGGCGGCGCCGCGCCTTGGCTCCACTCGCCGCCTCTGCCGGCAGCGCCAGCAGTGCAGCTCGAGACAGCATGCCTGGAAACCGCAGCAGCAGCAGCAACAGGGAAGGCAGCAGCAATAGCAACGGGACGCAGCAGCACCCGCAGCAGCAGCAGCCGCCCAGGCCACAGCAGCGGAACCGTCGCCCGCACCCGCCACGCGAGGCACACGGCACCAGCAGCAAGGCGCCGCCTTCGGAGCTTGACCGCCAGATCTGGGGTGCGCGCTCGGCAGGCGAGGTGCTGCAGGTGGCGGGCAGCAGCGCCGACCTCACGCCTGCCAGCGCCGCCAGCGTGCTGAGCACGCTGGCCCGCCTGCTGCGCGGCGCTGACGCCGGCCAGCGGCAGCAGGCTCGCCACCACCCCGCCCTGCCGCGCATGTATGACCTGCTGCAGCACGGCGCACCGCAGCTGCCCCTGCGCAGCCTGGTGGGCGTGCTGCAGCAGTGCGTGTGGCTGGGGCTGCGCCCGCCGCAGCCGCTGCTGGCGGCGGTGACCGAGCAGCTGGTGCGGCGCCTGCCGGCGGCGGCACCCACCGACGCCTGCCACGCCGCCTGGGCGCTGACCCGCCTGTCATACGGCGGCATCTCCAGCCTGTTGGGAGCCATCGATGCGCAGGTGCGGGCGCAGGCGGAGCAGCAGCAGCAGGCGGAGCAGCAAGCTGAGCAGCAGCAGCAGGAGCAGCAGCAGCAGGAGGAGCAGCATGCTAGGCAGCAGCGGGAGCAGCAGGAGCGGGAGGCGGCGCCGCCGCCCTGGCTGGCCGTCCTGCCCGCCGCCTCCCTGGTCAACCTGCTGTGGGCGTGCGGCAAGGCATCCTACCGCTCCCAGCCGCTCCAGGAGGGCATCGCGCGCGCTCTGCTGCGCTGCGCCGCCACCGGCGGCGGCGGCGGCGGCGGCGGCGGCCTCGTGCGCCCAGCGGCGGCCCCGCTGGCCTCCCTCACCCCCCAGCAGCTCTCCATGCTCTTCTATTCCATGGGCCAGCTGCACTGGGTGCCCAGCGAGGAGGCAAGCAGGGGCAGCCCTCCGCAGCCGCCAGCCCGCGTGCGTGCCCTGCACGCCCTCACCGCTGCCTTGCCTCTTGGTTGCCCGTAGCTGCTGGGTCCGCCCTGCTGCTGCCCTGCCTCGCACACCCATGGCTTTGCTTGCCCCGTCACCTGGCCCGCACCCCCTCAACCATCTCCCCTGCAGTTCCTGCGCCACGCGGCGGCCGCGTGCCGGCGCCAGCTGCCCTCCTTCACCCCGCAGGGACTGTCCAACGTAGCTTGGGGCATCTCCCGCCTGCCCCGCGGCGCCCAGCCCGGCATGCAGGCGCTGGCGGCGGCGCTGGCCGCGGCCGCCGCCCCGCGCCTGGCCCAGTTTGGCACCCAGGAGCTCAGCATGCTGGTGACGGCGGCGGCGGCGCCAGGCCCCGCCTGGTGCCGCTCCCGCGCCGCGGTGGTGCAGGCGGCGGCGGGCCAGATCCCGGGCCGCGCGCACGAGCTGAGCGAGCGGGACCTGGTGGGCATGCTGTCGGGTGAGAGGGGCCACCATGTTTGTGGCATGGCCAGCCCATGCAGGCGCCCAGCACACAACACACAGCACACACCGCCTCGACGTGTGCTGCCTGGGGCGCCGAGGCGCAACCGAATCGGCCCTGGCCCCCTGCCCCTGCCTCTCCCCGGCCCCTGCGCGTGCATGCGAGTGCATGGGCGAGTGCCCGCCCGCGCGCACATTCACACACACACACGCACACACACACGCCCCTCCTCTCCTCTCCTCTCTCTGCAGCCTTTGCCACCGTGCGCTACGAGCCGCCTGCGGGCGTGCTGGACGCGGCGTGCCGCCGCCTGGCGCACCTGCTCCCCGCCGTGCCCGCCGCCTCCCTGTCCTGGCTGCTGTGGTCGCTGGCCCGCATGCCACGGTACCGCACGCCCCGCCCGCTGCTGCACACGGCGGAGGCGGCGCTGCGGGGGCAGGCGGGGGCGCTGCACGGGCTGGAGGGCGCTGACCTGGCGCGGCTGTGCTGGGGCCTGGGAGAGCTCCACTACTACAGCGGTGGGTGGCCGCTGGCCTCCCCTGCTCTGCTTTGGAAGTTGGGAAGGTTGTTGTTGTTGGTGGTGGTGGTGGCGGTGGTGGCGGGGGTGGTGGTGGCGGTGGTGGTGGTCTGATTCGCCCCTGCACTGCCGCCCGCCTTTGATCACCCGGCCACGCGCCCCCCGGCTGGCGCAGGCGCGCTGCTGGCCGACCTGGCGTGTGCGGCGCGCGGCATGTGGGAGGGCATGGAGCCTCAGGTGGGCGGCAGGGAGGGTGCCAGGGGGGTGGCGGGTGCCGGGAGGACGGGCACAGGGAGGGCACACGGCATGGCGACCACACAGCTGCGTGCTGTGCTCTGCCAGCCCCAGCATCACACCACCCACACCACCACCACCACCACCCACCCACCCGCCGCTGACGCCTGGTGTGCCCCCCACCCACCCACCTGCCACCCACCTCCACCCCGTCTCCCTCAAGTCCATGGCCATGGTTCTGCACAGCTTCGCTCAGCAGCAGTTCACGCCGCATGAGCTGCTGGATGCGGCGGCGGAGCACCTGGCCGCCAACCTGGAGCGGTACAGCCCGCAGGTATGGGAGGCGGCGTACCGCCTGCCTCCTTTGCCTTTGCGCTGCCGGCCACGTGACCCTGCCACCCCTCGCAAGGGCTGGCACTGCGCCTTGGGATGCGGCCTGCGTGGCATGCTGAGCTGGCTGCCTGTGCTGAGCTGGCGCAGGCTGTGGCGGTGGTGATGTGGAGCTTTGGCAGGCTGGGGGTGCACCCCGGCCGCGGCCTGCCAGGCGGCGGCCCGTGCACGCCGGTGAGCCACGCTGTGCTGTGCTGTGCTGCGCTGCGCTGGCGTGGATGCAGCCCAGGAGCCCCGCGTGCACGGCCCTGCAGCACTGGAGACTTCTTGTCTTGCTGTGCTGGAAGCGACCCCCGACTGCGTGCCTGCCCACCTGCCTGCCTGCGCCACCCCCCGCCTGCACAGCACCCGCAGGATGGCACCCCGCTGCTGGCCGCGGTGGCCGCGTGCAGCGCGCAGCGTGCCAGCCTGCTGCCGCCCGAGCAGCAGGGGGGGCCCGCGGGGAGCAGCCTGGCAGCGGGGGAGGCGTTCAGCCTGCAGGGCCTGTCCATGCTGCTGTGGGCGTTTGCCACGCTGGAGCACCACCCCGGCGAGGAGCTGCTGGCGGCGGTGAGCGCCCGCTTCGTGCAGGCCCTGCGACAGTGCCAGCCCAGGGCCCAGCCAGCCGGCGGGGCGGCAGCGGCGGTGCAGGCCTCGGCGGACGCGCCGGCGGCTGGGCTGGCGGGCGGGCAGCAGCAGGGCACTGCAGGGGACCCGGCTCTGCTCAAGGCCCTGTCCAACACCGCCTGGAGCTTCAGCAAGTTTGGGTTTGCAGACGATGCCTTCTTCTGGGCGGCATGCGATGCCCTGCCGGCGCTGCTGCCTGGGCCGGCGCCGTCGGCGCCGGCGCAGCAGCACGAGCAGCAGCCGCAGGAGCAGCAGCCGCGGGAGCAGCAGCCGCGGCAGGAGGGCCACCAGGCGGAGCAGGCGCGGCACCAGGGCGCAGGCGAGGCGCACTCGATTTCCTCTCTGGCGTTTGCTGCCGCCAAGCTGCGGGTGGAGGCGGCGCCGCCGCTGCTGACGCGCCTGCTGCCCGCGGCGCGTGCTCGCCTGGGCGACTGCTCCACGGAAGAGCTGTGCCAGCTGCTGTGGGCGCTGGCGCACGCGGGCGTGCAGCCGCCGCTGGCGCTGCTGGACGCGGCGGCGCAGCGGCTGGCGGCGCTGGTGGATCGCGCCGCCGCCGGCGGTGGCGCCTGCCCCGACGAGGCGCGCCTGCTGTGCATGGTGGTACACGCGCTGGCGGGGCTGGCGTACCGTGCAGACGCCGCCCTGCTGGATGCCTGCGTGGCAGCGGTGGCGGGCTGCGCCCCGGACGTCTCGGTCAGCCTGCTGGCCAAGCTGGTGTGGGGGTGCGCCCACGTGGGCCACGACCCGGCGGCAGCAGCGCTGGAGGCGGTCACCTCCGACCTCTACCACCGCCTCTCCCACAGCCGCGGCAACAGCACGGTGGGCAGAGCGCCGCTGCTGCCTCGCTTGTGGCGCACAAGCATTCCGGTCCCGCACGGCTTGGCCAAGCCAGGCTGGCATTGCCGCGGTGCCATGAGGGCCTGCTTTACCTGCCCGTTCCTTGCAGGTGCTCAACACGCCAGACCTGGTGCACCTGCTGTGGGGCCTGGCGGCGCTGCAGCAGTACCACAGCCAGCTGTACCGCGCCATCGCGTACCGCGCCACGCGCCTGCCCGACGGCGTGCCCGACCAGCCCCAGCTGCGCCGCATGCTGCGGGAGGCCACGGTGCTGCACTCATGCGAGCACCGGCTCAACCCGGTGGCTGCCAAGGCCGCCGCCGCCATCCTGCCAGCCTGGATGGCAGAGCCCCGGGAGGAGCAGGGGCCAGTAGAGCAGCAGGATGGGGAGCAGCAGCAGGAGGGCGAGGAGGGGAGCGCGGGCGACAACGGCAGCGACAGCGACGGTACAGGCTTGGCAGCCGCTGCCGCGGCGCCGCGGCAGCAGGACCTGCGTGCGGCGGCGGAGGCTGCGTGCCGCGCGCTGCAGCGGGCGGGTGTGGCGGCCAGCCTCAAGCAGCTGTCGTTTGGCGACTTCATCGTTGTGTTTGGCCTGTCGCCCAGCGGCGAGAGCGGCAGCAACGGGAAGAGGAGGCCCCTGGCGGCCGTCGTCCCTGCCACCACCGCCGGCCGCGCGGCGGTCAACGCGCCGCACCAGCTGCTCGGCAGCGCACTGGTGTCGCAGCGCGTGCTGTCGGCTCGCGGCCTGCCGGTGGTGCCCGGCGTCGACGGCGAGGAGGAGCTGGTGGCTCACTGCCGTGGGCTGCTGGCTGAACAGCGGTGACGCGCGCTTGGTTGAAAGGAGCTTGCCTCGCAGCGTTCCATGGCGCCTGTACATCTCAGCATTTGGTCTGGGCGCTGCCTGTGTCGTGTCACGCTTCTGTTGACATGGTTGGCTGTCTGGCTGTAAGTAACAAAGTGACAGGGCGCAAGGGCATATACTACAGGTCCTCTGAAAATGCTGCACGGCGGCAGCGCGGACGGGAAACGGTATCTGATTGTCGCATGGGGTCCATGCCGGGCAAAGCAATATCATGTAGTTGAGAGAGGGCTCCACGCAAGGGGGCGGGCGCGCGGCCTCAGGCCCCATCGCCGCCGCGCGTGAGGTCCCGGCCACACAGAGTGCACCGGCCAAGTAGGGGCGGCTGCTCAGAAGGTCATGGAGTTGGTCTTGATCTGCGGCAGGGCAGAGCGGTGGGGGGGCACAGGCAGAGGGGCGGCGATGTCAGTGCTGCCTTGCTTCGAGCCTCAAGCTCCTATGCTGTGCCGTGCGCAGGGCGGAAGGGCGAGGGACATGCAGGGCACCACAGGTGGCCCTTACCTTTTCGCTGCCGGGGTTCATGCGCACAGTCTTGCCGGTGCTGTGGACGGGCATGTTGTTGAGGTACGCCTCAGAGGCATCGTACCACTCCTTCTGCAGGAAGGGAGGGAGCAGAGGACACGCCGCGGTGAGTCCCGTGCACGCACATTGCATGGGCCAGGGGCACGGCAGGCTCGGTGGCAGGCTCACGTTGATGGTGCGGCCCATCGGCCAGGTGTGGCGCTGCAGGTAGTAAGCGCCCGCAGATGCGACCGCCACCGGGATGATGAAGGAGGCAACCTGGCCCAAGCTGGCCATCTGCAAGCGATTTAGGGACGGCATGAACCAAAGTCACGTACAGGGCCAAGCGCAGGGGCCGTTGACGGAAGAGGCAGGCGGTGGCGGCGGTGGCGGCGCGGCAGCAGCAGCAGTTTGCGACGCTAGATTTTCAGCTCTGATGGCATGTGGTGCGGTGAATTGCTAGCCTTTTGAGCCCCAGAACGTTCAGAGCAAGGGTGCAAGAGATGATCGGCGTTCCGACACCAAGGGGCCAAAGTCACGCGGCGGCCCGCGCAGGCGTGAGAACCGAGCCAATTCCATGATTGGCGGGCAAAGGAGCAGCTGCAAGCGTCCGCAGCCTCACCGTCATGGTGCCTGCTGTCGGGAGGTGGGAGGACTGGACGAGCCGGGGGTGAGGGCCTGGTTGCTGGCTGGAGATGGAAGAGGGAACGGAATGGAGCGTTTTACTTTGGGGTCGGTGATATGGGGGATCGGCCGCCGGTCACGCAACCTCTGGTACACGCAGCCTCTCGAGCTGTTGGCCGCGGCGCCCCAGATGGCGGCCCCCATTCAACACAAACATCGAGGGCAGCAAATGCAGCCAGGAAGGGGCGGGTGCAAGCGAGGGAGGTGGCGGCGGCGGGCCGCTGCCGCCGCCTCCCGCCTCTCGCGCAAGGGGACAGAGAGAGGGGGACCAAAATGCAAGGAGCACACGAGGGACTGTACAAAAGAGTTAATAGCATTTCAGAGGGGGTATGTACGTATGTAGGGGTAGGAAGTAGTAAAGAACAAGGACGAGCAGGGCATGTGCTCGGTTGGCGCGCCAATTCCGCGCCGCCGTGGGACTGTCGCACCGTTCTCGAGCTCGCAAGCTTGCTGCTGCCTATTGGCGCACCAGGTGCATGTTCACCCTGTCGCTGAAAGGGTTGATTCTGATGGGGGTTGTTGACCCTTGCCGTGGCTGCAGCAGGGGGCATGAAGGGGTCAACGAGCGTTCTGTCGGCATGCGGGGCGGGCACAGGGGCCAATGAGGGGCGCGTGCAGCACAGACAGGGATGCAGCGGCCCACCCAACCAACTCACCACAGCGTTCATGTACCTCTCCTCCGCAGTGTACCACTCCTGCAGGGAAAGGGAGGGCAGCCGGGATGGGTGAGTTGGTTGAGGTGGTTAAGATGAGGCGGGGGGACGCACGCAGAGTCACTGAGCGTGGGCAAACTCACCTCAGAGCAGGTGTGAGTCCAGCCATAGACCTTCCTATACCTGTGCGGCGCGAGTTTCAAAATGCAGACTCGGTGGTGCCGCCCACGGCGGGGGAGCGGTGCGGGGTGCACGCTGCCGACGGCGGCAGCACTTGCGCACAGGGCAGCCTCACCAGAACCAGTAGCCCATGCTCCCGACAACGGCGGGGCCGATGAACTTGGCAAGGGAGCCGAGGCTGGCCATCTGGTGGAGAGCTCCTGCAGCGGGGGCAAGGGACGGCAGGCGGTCCATGCTGTGAAGGTGACCATGCACAGGGCGCAGAGGGTGGCGCAGGTGCACCGCGGCTCTCTCAAATGACACAACGAGCCGAACCCAGGGCAGGTTGGGGTTTGGAAACCACCTGCACTCATGCTGGATGCTCGAGGCGAGAGGGTTGAGGGGCAGCGGGGAGGGCGAGGAGGTCACAAGCAAGTGAAAACATTGAAGCATGGAGGGTCTTTGGTCATTGGGGAGTCACGTCGCCCAGCGTGAGCTTTCTGGTGAGCAGGTGCGTTGCCTGCTGTGCTTGCCAGAGCGCGCGAAGACCGCGGCGGCGGATGAAACCGGATGGATTTACTTCATTTCAAGGCGTTATGAGATGCGCATCGCCCCGGTGCGGATGGGAGGTGGCACGCTGACCCGGCGGCAGCTGCCATCTGCGGTTGCATGCCGCCAATTCAAGTTGGCGCCCTTGCAAGGTGAAGCCAAAACCACGACTGCAGCGCAGACTGAAGTGGACCTGATTTTTCCAAACTGCGATGACAATCCAGCTATATCGACAGCAACCAAGCGACGCGTCGGCAACACGGCGTGCCGCCGTGTTGACCGCTGTTCGGCATCAACCTGGCCAGCAGACACTAGTATGCTGTTGCGGCCCACTGCGCGGCCCACTGGAGGGAAGGAAGGGGCTGGACAACGCTTTATGCTCGCCTTGGCAAGACAGGTCCGCTCGGGCGATTCCATGAGCGTGGCGGCGTCGGGTGGAAAGCATGCCGAGGACGAGTGCCGCCATGCCTCAGCTGCTGTTGTGATCGTTGACCGTTCCAAGCTTCTCTGCAGCCCATCCCCCGTGCCTATGGATCCACCAGATGCACAGGGGCAGGGGCCCCAAGCCCCTGAAGAAGTCGAGGCAGAGCAGCAAGGTAAGGCAGTCGGGCAGGCTGAGGGGACAGTAGCTGCAGGAGGCAGCAGCTGGCTCAGCGGGCCCTCACGCGTTGCTGCACTGGGCTGTCCGACCTCCCCTTCGGCCTTTACTCCCTTAACTGAAAACGACAGCCTTGTAACTGCAGAGGAGCAGCAGCAGCAGCCACAGCAGCAGGCTACCGGCGTAGAGAACCAGAGCCCAGAGGGCTCCGAGGATGACGACAACGGCGCTGGAGCACCCGCGCTGCATGCTGCCCTGTTGCTGGATCTTGCGGCGCTGCTTCCGGTGAGCCCATCCTTGGCTGCTTGAGACACACGCACGAGCGCCGCACCTGGCAGGCACCCACGCACCTGCCAATTGGCGCGCCGCTACTGGGCCTGAGCCGCCTACTGTTGTGTGCTTGGGGCTGCTGCAGAGCTGCTGACACTTCTCAACACAAAGTGGGGCATCCCGCTCAAGGTGGCAGAGGGCGTAGAGGTGCGGCTGCCAAGGCCTGACGCTCCTGCCTCAAACCTGCCAGCCTTCGCGGCTGGCAGTGGCGGTTGGCAACCTGTGCTGCTGCCCTTTGCCGCACACGCTGCCTGCAGGTGCTTCTGGAGCACAGGGCAGTGCCGGAGGGCGCGCAGGTGTGCAGCATGGACACAGCTGCATTCATGGACCGCCACCGCCTGTCACGCCCGCTGCTGAGCGCCAGCATGGTGGCGGCCATGGCGCCCGCCAGGCGGCAGCGCACCCTGGAGCTGCGCCTGTTCGCCATGGTGCAGGCAATGCAGGCAAGTCGGTTGCCGCGGCTAAGAAAGGCCTTCTTTGAAGGCGCTGGAGCTAGTGTCTAAACCCTCCGAGAGGGCACAGGTTCGATTCCTCCCATGTCGAAACTTTGTGAGGACAAACGCGGCATAGCTGACCGGCTCAGCGCCAATCCAAGCCAATTCCTTCGGGAACGCCTAATAGAATCGCCAAGGCTTCGGCACAGGCCTCCCCGGGACCCATTCACTACTAGTGGGGGGTACTGCACTTGGCGCGTCGGGCAGATCAAATAATGGTCTAAAGCTAGACGTTAAAACCGGGAAGTGAAGCTTGTGGAGGCTCTTCCCCACCTTTACCTTTGCCAGGCGTCATTGGAATCAGCGCCCTGCTGGCTCGCCCGATGCATGGCAGACCGCTTCATGCGGTGCGGTACAGGGCGCGCACAGCCATGCCCTGGGAGCTGGCGGACGCTGTCCCACGCTGCCCCTCTCCTTGCACGGTGCAGCGCTTCCCCCGCCTGATCACCAGCTCGCTGATTGCGGAGCTGGCATTCATCGGTTATGTAGGTCGGTGGCTGCCAGCAGTGATGAGCAGCCTGCACGTGTGCGTGTCTGTCGCTGCCGCTGCCATGTCAGCCTGCATTGCCAGCAAGGTGCGCACCACCGCGCCGTGATGCAGGCGCACTGCACTACCTGGACCACCCGCGGGAGCTGGGTGGGGCAGTCAACAGGATTGTCAAGGTGGGACTGGAACGGCCTGGGCTGCTGCCTTGCTTGACCGGCGGTGCTGCCGGCGACAACTCTCTGCACAGAAGCCATGATTTGAATGTACCTACTCACATCTGTTTCTGCTGGCAAACCCATGCAGAACTCCCGTTTCATTAACAGTGCAGCGCAGCGTGCCGGCCTGGTCCTGGCGTCAGAGGAGGAGGTGCTGGAGGCAGCCTCAGCACTGCCGCCCGATGGCGGCGAGCTGGTGCCCTGGTCGCCAGCCGCCCACCGCCGCTTCCCACCCACCTTCCGCCAGGCAGTGAGCACCCTGCTGCTGCACCGTGCCCGTGTGCGCAGCATGGTTGCAGCAGCTGATGTGGAGGCTGAGGCTGGGGCCGCGCCGCCCCAGGGCGTGGTGTGCCTGGATGCCCTGCCTGAGGCCTTGGTGCAGCCCGTCGTCGCTGCCATGGCACACCCTCTGGATTTGTGGCGGCCATGAAGGCCGGCCCCCAGTCTTCATCAGCACACACCACAGCAACTTGCAGCGATGCCTGTCCAATAGCTTTTGCTTTATGCCTGACCATGTCTTGTGATGCCAGCGCTTGCACACCCAGGGCGGGTCGTGCAGAAACCGCAGGCGCCCAGAGCGGCTTGCTTCCTTGCTGCTGTTTCACACGTTTCTCAAGTGTGTGTTGTGCGGCAATGAGCCAAATACGCCCACTCTCACTGAATGCAGCCCTGCTGGTGTTGCAACCTTGAACGGCGCCATCCAAGAGGAGGAAAGCACGCCGCCTAATGCGCCGGCCTGCTGCTGCAAATCACATTCTCTGCACTCCCAGGCGACAAGCGTGCCTGCAACCACATCCCTGCGGCGCCAGGTGCGCCCATCTGCGTCTGCTCCAGAACGCCGCTCACCATGCACCCACGCATTCACTGATCGCGACCTGAATTCTTCTTGCCCACGTGCCTGCAGTCTTGCGCAATCGCCCCTGGGTTGGCAGAGAGCCTGAGCGCAGACTCGCCAGTCAAGCTCTCAAGCTGGAGCGGCTGGGCCAGCTGCTGGCACCCCTAAACGCGGCGGCCAGCGCGGAGATCATGAAGCGGCGGAGGGCTGCCACCGTGACGTCGCCCAAGGTGGTGCCCACCGGTCCGCCGCCACCCACCAGGCCGCCACCACGCGCCGCCTCTTTGACTCACACCAGTGTGCAACGTGCCCGCAGGCGGGTTCCAAGGACGTCAGCAAGACCGACTCGCTGTTTGATGCATACAAGGACAAAGGCAGCGAGGAGGACGTGATCGGGCCTGATGGTGCGCCGGGCGCCGGGCTGCGCCAGGCCGCAAGCCGCCGCCGGCGGTTGCTGCCGCGGGGTGGCCCCCCCAGCAGCCTTGCCGCTGCGCCCCGGCAGAGGTTCGAGCCCAGCCATCGTCTCCCGGTGGCTGTGCAGGCGTGGAGAAGCTGTGCAGGGACTTGAAGGTGGACCCCACAGACCGCCTGGTGCTGCTGCTGGCCTGGAAGGTGCGTCCCAGCCTGGCTGCGCCTGCTGTGGTGGGTGCCACCACCCGCTTTCTCCAAAAGGCGCTGCTTGCTCACTGGCAGGCCGCTCTGACATGCCTGCCAACCGCCCCCCTTGCCTCTCCACCCCCCACCCACCACGCGCGAGCAGATGGGCGCCCAGAAGATGGGCTACTTCTCGCGCTCCGAGTTCAAGTGCGGGCTGACGGAGCTGGGTGCCACCAGCATCCCGCAGCTGCGCAAGGCGCTGCCCAGCCTGAGGGCGGAGGTGGCGCAGGCGCACGCGCTGGAGGAGTTCCACAAGTTTGCCTTCCGCTTCTGCCTCACGGTGAGGCCGGCTGGCGGGGCTGGCTTCTGTGGGAGCGGCGGAGGCTGGAGAGGCTGGAGGGGCCGAGGGTGCTGCAAGCTGGTTGCGTGGATGTGGCGGGGGCTGAAGAGTCTGGAGGGGCCCGGAAGGCTGGCTGGCAGGCCGGGGGAGGGAGGGAGCAGGATGGGCACGCAGGGAGGTGGCTCGCCATTTCGCTGCCCGCCTGCATCACAGCACCCGCCTGCGCACCGCGCCGCTTCTGGCTCCCCGCCGCTGCAGGAGCCCGGCCAGAAGATCATCGACAGCGAGACGGCGGCGCAGATGCTGCAGCTGGTGCTGCCCCAGGGCCGGTTTGTGGACTCCTTCTGCACCTTCCTCACCCAGCAGAAGGACTACAAGAAGGTCAATGCCGACCAGTGGGCCAAGTGAGGCCGCCGCTGCTGCTCGCCTGTGCCCGCCGCCCGCCCTGCCTTGCTCGCCTGGCCGGCCACCCGCGGCTGCCCTCGCTCGCCGCCTGCCCACCCTGGCGGCCCCGGTGCCGTGCCGCGTGCCCCCCATCCCGTTCCCCCGCTACCACCACCACCCACACTACCAAGGTCACACCACGCCACTCACCCCCTATCTCCCACCCCGCGCCTCCCCGCCGCAGCTTCCTGCGCTTCTCGCGGGAGGTGCGTGAGGACCTGTCCAACTACCACGACAACCCGGCCTGGCCGCTGCTGCTGGACAACTACGTGGAGTGGGTGCAGCAGAGCGGGCAGGACTGAGGCCAGCTGCGCCGTGTGTGGGGCGCCCTTGCCCGCCACAGCACACGGTACACTCCCCCCGCCCTGCCGCGCCCCGGCTGCTTGCCGGCGCGGCGCCTCCTCCTGTACATGCCTCCTCTGGCTCGCTGGCAGCAACCCCCGAGTGCCAGAGCGTGTATGCTGCCTGCCCAATTCCTTCCCCATCTGATTTTCATGCCCGCTCAAAACTCCCTGCTCTGCGTCTCACGTGCTGTACACCCTCCCCTTGCCACATCACTTGGCTGCTGCCCGCCTGCATTTCATGCCCTGCGCAATGGTTCCGCCGGCTGCCTTACATACAGCAGCACGCGCGCTGTAAGGCTCACATCGACGGCGGGAGATCGAGAGGAATGGTGTGGTGGCCCGTGCGTACGCAAGGACGGCAGTTGGAGAGCACAGGGGCGCCGTGGCGTTGCCGCCGGCCGGCGCGCAGTGGAGCGCCCCCCCCCGCACAATAAAAGACACAGTGTTGCAGTGCTGGAGGGCAGGGAACAGGAGCAGCCATTTCATGTACACAACAGGAGCGGGGCAGTTGGGGCGCCAACCACCGTGTCCATCAAAGAAGCAGCCAAGGAGCAGGGAGAGCCCCCCCCCTGGTCACTGGATCGCGCACGCGCAGCACTGCTTGGCCGCCGCATCCGAGCCAGCCGCCTCAGTCTCCAGCTTGGCGTTTGGTGTGCTGGGCCCCTCGATGTGTGCAGCCGCGGTGCTGGTGGGCAGCGCCTCGTCCGCCGCCGCCTCTGGGATGGCAACAACAAGGGCGGGCGCCCCATCCTCCAACTCCTGCAAACAACAAGGCAAAGATCGGTCAGCTCGAGGTCCTGCAGCAGCGTCCCTGAGAGCAGGCGGCGGCATCATTGAATGCGGAACACATCGGCAACACGTGCCGCGCACCTTGCCAGCCTCCTCAGCTTCCCCTGGCTCCTCTGGCTCCCCAGCTGCCCCCTCCTCTGCAGCTGCGGCCACCTCCTCGCTGGCTGTTGCCTGCTCAGCTGCAGCCCCTGGCTCCGCCGCTCCTGCCGCGCCCTCCTCGCCACAGCCGCCAGCAGCTCCACACTCAGCCGCCTCGGTTGCGGCTGCTGCCCCCTCAGCAGCAGCCTCCGCGTCGGCGCCGGCCGCCTCCTGGCCGCCGCTGCCCTCCTGCGCCACGTCTGCCGCGCCATCAGCAGCCGCGTCTGCAGCTGCGCCGGCTGCTGCCTCCTTTTCCGCAGCCTCGCGCGCCGCCGCGGCAGCCACCTCTGCCGCTGCCGCGCACTCTGCCGCGCCGGCTGCGCCCCCAGGGCCGTCCACCGGCAGCCCCAGGTCCTTCTTGATGTCCTGCAGGTCCCGCATAATATCCTCCAGCTGCTTGCGGGTGTCCATCTTAGAAGGGCTGGCTGGGGCGGCGGCGCCACCGCCGGCGCGCCGCTCGCCAACCCGCGACCCCGCCCGCTGCACCCCCGCCGCACGCTGCGCCGGAGCCGCCGCCCCATAGCTGCTGCTGCTGCTGCGGGCGGGAGGGCTGGCGGCAGCGGCGCTGCTGCTGTACAGCCCCGCACGAGAGCTGCCGGCTGTCACAGCCTTCTTGGGGCTGCCGCCGCCGCCGCCGCGCTGCGGGCTGGACGGCCCCCGCTGCGGCGGGCTGCCCAAGCTGCGCTCGGGGCCGGGCGGCGCTTTCTGCGGCGGGCTGCCGCGGCCGGGCGGCTCCTTGGGGGGCGGGCTGGCCAAGCCGGCCGGCCTAGGGATCCTGCATGACCAGCAGGCCAGCAGCGGCGGTTGCTTCCGCTGTATGCAGGCAGCACCCGTGGGGCCAGCACGCTGACCACCTGCGGCACCAGCTGCGGCACCTGCAGCTCCATCGCTCACCCACCTGGTGCCAGACATGGAGGTGCTGCGTGCCGCCGACATGGAGGCGATGCGTGCCGCCGTCCTGCCGTCCGAGGCCGACCCCGTGCTGCGCTGCACCATGCTGCCGGTCTTGGCGGGGCTGGGCCCGGCGCTGGCACGGCCGCCGAGGCGGGCGCTGGAGGGGCTGCGCGCGGAGGAGGGGCGGCTGCCGCGCGGCGGCGACGAAGGCTCCTCCTTCTTCGGCGGCGGCTTGGCCAGCAGCGCGACTCTGCGGCAGCACGAGGGGTGGGCAGCGGTCAATTGGTGGCGGCTGGGGCCGGCACACTCTCCCGGCGCCAAGCGGCTGTGCATAAGCCAAGCGAAAGGCCTCACCGTGGCAGCTTGCCCCTGCTGCCTCCGCTGCTGGCCACGCCGCTGCTGGGCCCCGCGCCGCCAGCGCTGGCAGGCCTGCTGCCGCTGCGAGACGAGGCGCCGGACAGGGAGGGCTGCCCGGCGGGGGGCGGCGTCTTGCGGCCCGGCACCTTGGGCAGCGGCGACACGCTGCAGGCAGGCGACAGGGAGGCAGGTGCAGAAGGATGCGGTTTGGGAGAGCAGCCAGGCAGTGCTCCACTGCTTGCCGCCCAGCATCTAGCTACTGGCAGCTGCCGGGGGGGTCCCCCTCCCCCATGCCCACCCCTCGCAGCTCGTGCGCACCCGCTGTCCGCCTCGTCGTCAGGCATGCGGCGTGCCGCCTCGGCTGTGCCGCTGACCGAGGAGTTGGAGCTGGAGGGGCGCTGGATGGGGATGACGTCGCCAATGTGCGTCACGCCGCCGGCAGGCAGCGCGCCGGCCTGGCTGCTGCCGCCGTACAACCCCGAGCTGGCCATGTCTGAGCTGAGGGTCTCGAAGGAGTGGTAGCTGGCGGTGCGCATCGGCTGGGGAGCGGCTGCAGGCAGCGGCGGCGGCGGCAGCGGCGGGTGAGGAGCGGCTCGGCTTGCAGCAGGACCAAGCCGCGCGACCCGCTGCGCCACCACCAGCACTGTGCAGAGCAGCGCCCGCTCACTCGACAGGTTGTGTATGTGGTCGATGGTCAACTCCTCCGCGCCAGACCCGGCCAACAGCGTCAAGTCCTCCTGTTGCAGCGTGCTGGCAGCCTGCTCCAGTGCGTCTGCAAAGTCCTCGCTGCCATGATGTTCCAGCCCTGGCTGGTTGTCCATCGTGGATCGAGTGGTTGCACCCACCAGCCGGTTGCAATTGGCAGGGGAGCTCGCTCACTGTGTGTGGCGCCGCCGAACATGCGCTGCGCTGGGGGCAGGGAGACAGCGGCATGCCGCGCCACCTGGCAAAGTGGCGGTTGGCTCGCTCCCTGGTGCGCAACCCCAATTCTGCGTGTTTCGGTGATGTGGTTGCACTCATCTTCCACTAAAGACCCCAATGCGGGCATTTCGCACTTTGACTGTCTGCAGAACCAGCACCAGTGTTACTTGCGGCAGATGGCCGGTGGGGCGCACAACCCAGCCAGCAGCACACCGCAGCACAGCAGTGCTGCTTTACCATCCCAAGACAATGAACAGGATTAAGATACCAAGCGCAGCTGGAACAAACACACTGATCAGGAAAGTGAAGGCAGACACATCCGACGATGCCTGCGCCTCTTCGCCTGCGGCAGCCGCTGCGGCAGCCGCCAGCTCGGCATCGTGATCACCGCAGGTGGCAAGCAACAGCCGGCGCGGCTCAGCCTGGCCCTCCCATAGCTGCTGCTGGGCACAGCATCAAAAACAAATGAGGCGCGGATTGATACCATGCACTGCAGCGCGCCGCCTGTCCCGCCGCGGCGAAGCTTAGGTAATGAAGCGTTTCGTCTTCCACTTCTTCTTCTCCCAAAACCAAATCAGGGCAGGAATCACACGGTGCACCACGTGGCTGCAAAAACATGCTGCTTCTGGCATGCCTGCTACCAAACATAGACGCAGCAACCGCGGCCAGACTGTGTGTGGCACGGCTGCGACCCAACCCAGGCGGAGCGCTGCTTAAGCACTTGCAGGATACTTCTTTCATTCCTTGCACATTTTCTTCAAAAATATAGCGAAAAATTAAATCATAAAATCAATGGCTGCAAGCTTGTTTGTTTCCTCAAGTCGCAAAGCCATGATCCATGGCAAACATCATGAGCACGCCCAGCGCCGCCGGGATGCCAAAGCCCACCAAAAAGTCCAAGTCTGATACAGCTGATGGCCCCGCGTCAGCCTCCTCGGCCGCTGCCGCCACACCTGCCGCTGCCAGCTCCAGCTGGCTGCCGCTGCGCCTGGCTGGCCCCGGCTGCTGGTTCTCCTGCTCGGCAAAGCGGAGGAGGAACTCAAGGCGCATGCGCCTCTCGGTGCGGTACACGGCCCAGGTGCTGGCCAGAAACGCCAGCAGCACCACGTGCATCTGGTACTGCACGCACAGGTGGTGCGGAGGCGATGCCACGTCGGTGGCCGCGGAGAAAAATGCCGGCAGCCAACGCCGCAGCGCAAGCTGCGCCAGCGCGTCTATCGTGGCGTAGGCCTGCCTGAGGCCGGGGCTGTCGCGGCACAGCCTGTCGTTGAAGGCCAGCAGCACCACTGCCACCGCCGCTGCCTTGACCAGCTCCAGCCAGAAGGGCAGGAAGCTGAAGGTTGTGTACATCCAGATCCACATGGCGGTGCTGCCGTACGACAGGTACATTAGCGACCCAACGGGGCGGATGCCCTCGTGGGATGGCGCCATGTGTACGTGATTGAGGCATCCTATTGCGGCCTGCATCACGTCAGCAGCCAGGGCCACCCACTGCCAAACCCTGCAGCGGGCACAGGGAATCAATCAATGGGAGCCCGTGCTAATCAGGCTGGGCGTGCGTTCCGGCCCGCCAGTGGCAGTAGACCTGGAGTATTGGCGGCTGCGTGCATTGACGGCGCTGATTGGAAGCAGGTTGGACACAGCTCCAACAAGAAACAGCAGCTCCGTGCCCCACAAACGTCCGGCCAACAGCGCCCTGCATGCAAGCAACAAGCCTAGGCCTTAACGAACGAGCCGGCAGCGAGCCGAGCCAGCGGTGCACAGGGTGGTGGCGGCAGCTCTTCCCGCCCTTGCCCAGGCGCGCCGCTTCCGTTGCGTCCTCGGAGGCAGCTTTTCCCTCTCCGCCCGCTGCTTTGGGGGGCCTTCCCGCCGCTCGGAGCCGCGCACCTCAAAGTGACACCGACAAGCAGCCAGAAGCGGAAGGTGCCAAAGCCGCGCACAGCTTGGCGCTTGCGGACCCGCAGCTCCTCCTCGAACTGGTCCTCCAAGCGTTCATCAAAGAACTTGAGGTCTTCCAGCATAGCCATATTCACCGCGCTCAGGGGTCCTGGCTCTCGCTAGCTGGTGAATTCTGCTGTCTCCGACACCCAGTGAACGATTAAAGATGTACAGATGCGACCTGTATACGACCTGTACTGCGTGCCGGCCCGTCATGCTGTGACATGCAGTCGCTGCTGGATGGAGCGACAGCTCATCCAGCTCATCCAGTGGTGCTGGCATCTGGTGCCGTTTTCCACCCTGCCGGCAGGGGCAGCAGGACCCGCCAGAACCTGCCGAGCGTCGGCAACACTTGCTGCTTGCAACGACTGACAAACAGCATCTCGCTATCAGCTAGCAATGCCACGGCGAACAAAGAGTGGGGCCCATTCAGCTACCCAGCCCGCTAGTTGAGGGCGGGGTCCTTGTATCTGCGGTACACGGCATCAATGTCTGCCAGGCACTCCGGGCTGAGTTCCACGCTGAAGGCCCCCACATTCTCCCGCAGCTGCTCCATGCTGGTGGCCCCGATGATGACGCTGGCCATGAACCACCGGCTGTTGCACCACGCCAGCGCCAGCTGCGCCGGCGTCAGGCCGTGCCGCTTCGCCACCTCCACATACTCCCCCACCGCCTGCTTGGCCAGGCTCTGGTTGTACCGAGCCATGTAGCCTGCAGGCGCGGCGCAGGAAGGCAGGGAGGGAAAGCAGGCACAGCAGGCTCTCAGACAGCACCCTGCGCAGCCCCAGTCTGCCTCCCAACCCTTTGCCACCCGATCAGCCTGCACTCCAGGCATGCCAGGCCCACGAGCCTGCCTGCCAGCCACAGGCACAGGCACGGCGGCTGCCCCCACCCCACCCACCATACCCCACCACCAGCAGCCCACACCCCACCGCACCGCAACCCACCGCCACGCCCTGCCACCCAACCTGGAACAGGTGCATCCGCAA